GAACCCAAGTCGGACCTGGGTTAAGCCCGGGCCCACGCCCCGCAAATTAAAATAAAATAAAATAAAATAAATCGTGCGTCAATATCCGTGTCATTTGTGCTCGAGCGTAACCTTAGCAATATGGGTGTCCTTCCTAGCTAAAGTTGACGTTCCGGATGCGTCGGTGGAGTTAGTTTCGTCATCCGGGGTCGTCCGGACGAGTTCGTCGGTGGGCGAGTCGATTTAAGTCAAAATCGTGTGTGATGCAACAAGTGCGTTGCCGAGTCACCGAGGGTTAACCTAAGGTCGTTTGATCCTATAGGAACTCATTTCTAGGCCCTCTACATGTTGGTCCTTAGCCCTTGCAACTAGAAGTTGAGTGCTTGGAACCACTCATGCGAGTTCTTCACAAAAATGAGTTAAGAAGAGGTTTGAAATTCTACGGGTGGGCTCCATTACTAGTCCGCTAGGATGGTCAACAAGGAACTCCTAAGGCTAGATTATTTGTTCTGAGAGTATGAGACTAAGACCTCACTAAAATGAGGTCAACAAGGCACCATTAGAATCATGAATGTTGTCACAAATTTAAAAAGAAGAGAGAGAGAGAGAGAGAGAACCACTAGGAAGGCACTAAGATTTATGTAATTTTGAGCAATGAGAGAATTCAATCCACTATAAAACTCAGAAAACAAAAACGTGGTGTACAAAAACAAGAGCACTCACCAATCAGTAACTAATATCCAAGCGCCTCATTTAATTTCACAAATAAGATTACCTCAAAGAAAAATCCTTCTTCACACTTGCCATGATGAAATCTCCAATCCTCCACTGGAACTCCAGCCGTTGAGAGAGTATGCAGCGAGGAACATAAAGAGTTCTCTGAAATTATACAAGCTATCCTAAATTAGGAGGGTATGTCATGGGAGCCTTTCATTTTGGTATAAGAAATCCTAAATCATTCCACAAGGAAATTGCACACATCTTGAGAAATTTAAGTCTGACACCTGATGATTTTAATGGTTGCCCATATGTTATGCCATAGTGTGTGATTCTCAATGCATAGATTTCAGTAAGGTGACTCTATAATTTTAGGATGAGTTGCAATAATCTTGATAATTTAATCTTAGTTTCCGATTAAACAGGAAATCTTCTAGAATATATCTTTTCTGGCAAATATTGAGTTGCAATAATCTTGATAATTTGATCATAGTGTGTTTGCTGTCTAGATTTCAGTTTTTTGTTATTTCTGATTTTAGATTGGTGAGGACAGCTGTCGGCGCCCTGGCTTCTCCTCGAGGTTTATATCCGACGGTTAGGATGATGCTCCAGCTGTATCCCTCTCCCCGGTGATGATTATCTACTCCGTCTTCCACCTCCATCCTTCCCCTTACCGCCTGCAGGATTTCTCTCAACCCCACACCCATTACAGCCTCCTCTTTTCCCCGTTTCTGCAGCTCCAATCCCGACAGACCCAGCCTCCCAACACTATCACCTGCAAACCTCCCTACCCATCACGCGACAGCCTCCACAAATCCTCCCAGCCAGCCTCTGCCTTGACCTGTACACCGTGAGATCCACATCCCAAAAAATTAAGCCGCAGATCACCCATCCTCCCAACTGTAGCCTTTTCCGTGAGTCTTCCCAACCCCAGCTGATGCCGTAACTTCCTTTCCCTTCCCTTTCTGCTGCCTTAAATCCACCCCGTAACAACCAACCCACTCCACTGTGGCATCTCCCAACCCTCCCAGAACTGCCGCAGCCTTATCCAGACTCCAAACCTGCTGCCTTGGGGTCTCCCAAGCCTCAACCTGCTAATGTCAGCCTTCTCCGGACCCCAAACCTGCTGCCTTGGGTTCTCCCAAGCCTCAACCTGCTAACGTCCAACCTACCCTTGCCTCCACCGCCTTCCCTGCCATCACGCAGAGCCTTCCTACAACCATCCAGTCGGCCACCACCTATACCTACCCATTCTCACTGCTGTCCACGGGCCATCTCGCCTCGCCCTGGCTGGAGAATCGTGTTGTGCTGTATTTCTTTTCCTGTTCTGAGTCTTAGTTGTAATTTTTTTGAATTTGAGTAATAATATTCATACTTTCGTTGTTGATTGGGCTTTCTCCTCTTGTATCGCAAAATTTAGGTGTTAGATATAAATACATAGGAATTGGTGATATGTATGTAAATGCCCCTATTTGTTTTCAGAGAATCTCTTATCCTAGGAGCAGTAAGGTCCGAACATAGCTGGAAATCTCCTCCATTCTGAATTCTGCTAAAATTTGGCAAGCACATGTAAATTGTGAAGTAGAATTATAGGTAATTGTAGAATGTTATTTAGATAGTTTTTTCAACCCTTTGTTGAGAAAGTTTGATGAAAATTCAGTAACCTGCTTCAGACGTGATTTTAAAAAACGCCTTCTTTTAATGTTTGTATGTTTGTATTACAATATTTACTGAAATTTGAAATCATGTACTTGTAAGGCTTTTGGTTAATTTTATTTATCTTATTTGCCCTTGAAATTGTCAGATTTATGAGAATCCACCAGGCTTCGCTTGTCCTGGTGTGCCGGTCCTCCCAGTTGTGAGCATCTTTGTCAACATCTTCTTATTTGCACAGGTTAGCATCCATAATTAGCTTTCCTCTGTACATTTAATATTTAGGGGCATTTACAATTCTTATATATTTACATATCTAACTCCCAATTTTTTAATTTTTACATACACAAGGCTTAAATCCTTGACATCACATCAAACATCACTATCACCAACTTTAAAAATGAAATACACCTTTTCTTGTATAAATTTTTAATACCAAGATGTTAGAAATGTAAATATCAAACTTTCGGTGTTAGATAATGAAAATGCATAAGAGTTCTGTGGTATTTATGTAAATTTTTCTAATTTTTATATCCCTGTTTTTCTGTATTATACAACAGATTTCCATAGCTAGCTCAGCTACTGTTTTTTTCTGTATACTTGTGCTGCTAGCATTTGATTCCAGTTATGGAGTATGAATTGCATCACAATGGAAATTTTGTCAGCAAGATGAAAATAACATGGCATTTGGATGTTCAGAAAAATATCTGAAATCTATCTAAACATAAATGAGCAAAAGAGAATTAAAACAATAATTAAAAAAAATATTAACACAAAAAATACAAAACTTCAAGTTGGTTCATCCTTTTAAAGGTTACATCATATTATCTTTGTGGATTTCACCATGGTTTGATTGTGGAGAATTAACACCATAACTTCATTTTTTATATATAAGCCAACTTACTTATAAATGAAAATTTGTATTTCACCTTTTAAAAGTTAAAATAGTAATTTTTTTAAATGTGATATGACAGATTTGGTTGTTATAAATGTAAAAAGTAAAGTTTAAGTGTGAGATATGTAAATACATAGGAATTGGGTGGTATGCATGTAAATGCCCCTTTTCCTTTTGGACTCCACAACTCAAGTGCGAAAGAATTATTTCTCAATTAGAACCTTCTGGCTCTTATAAATTACAGATCTACGAATTGATTCTGAACAAAATCATTTGTAATTACAGCTGCATGAAGAAGCATGGATCAGATTCGTTGTCGTGAGCATCATCTCAATCGCTATTTATGCCGTTTATGGACAATATAATGCTGATCCTGCGGGTTCTGAACAAGCTATATTCTACCATAGGGCTTCAGCTTCAGATGAGTAGCAATACCACAGAATCACAATCACGGAGTAAGTTTACTGAATTCTTTCCTCTGATATTACGAATAATTTAATTTTTTTTTGCATTTATAATGTTTGTGTCAAAAAATAAAAATAAAAATAAAAATAGTTGCATCAATATATTTGTCTTAAATGTATTGAATATAACACCTTTCTCTATATTTTTAAATTACATAATTCATCCTGCTGTGCTTTTCTGAATGATTGAAAACCTGGAGCTGGTTCTTTTGATCTGTATTTATAGTTTTCTGTTGAGAATTGTATGGCTGGTAGATATTTGTGCTTTACGTGTGATTTGAGTTGGGAGGGATTACTCTGTCATAAAAAAATTGAAGGGGCATTTACATGCATAACACAATTTTTTATATATTTACATATCTAGCCCCAAAAGTTTGATGTTTACATGCTTATTTACTACACACATTTTTTTACATCACATAAAAATATCACTATTGTTGCTATTGCAGTCTTTCCAGTCTTCAAATTTTATTATTTTGTCCTCGAAATTTTCCTAGTTGTTTTATTTTTTTGTATTTTAAATGTTATGTCAAAACTTTAAATTTAAAAGCACAAATTCTGTAAAATAAATATAAAGGGGAATTTACATACATACACCCAATTCCTAATTTATTTACATATCTAACACCTGAACTTCACTTTTTATACATATTTTCATGCATAAGATAAGATGGCATGCATATAGAAATTGAAGTTGAAATTTTGGATAAGTTAATATATAGGAAATAAGCATTATGTATGTAAATCTTCCTAAATATAAATATCTTGATTTTTCTTCTACAGGTTATGAATCATAGTTAATTTACTTAATATGTGATTTGGACATTTGTGAGGGATGTTTTTGAATTTTAAATACCCTGCCCACACTCTAAAAAAATGCACTCATTTTTTTCTTTTTTTAACTATCCATAAAGTTGATTGAGTTGGGGCCTTTGAATACTACTCAAATTATGTGGAAATTATATAACATTATAAAAAGTAAATGATTATATAGGTGTTAAAAAATTATTATGTAATTGATGCTTGCTAGGAACTTCGCAGCGGTTGAGTAATGAATTATCATCTTAACATTGCACGAGAATTCAACGTACATTCAGATAAAAACAAACAGCTAGTGGAGACATCAAAAATTTTTACGTGAAAAACTTGTAATAGGAAAAATCATGGGCTCTAGCCCAGGTGAAAGGTTTCACTATAAAATGATAATTACAATTGCAACCACTTGTCTAACAGACAGAAAATTGGTTACTAGGTCTCTCAAGTTACAACATTGACTTGCGGATGAATCCATTGCAAGGAACGGGCGGCGATCGATAACGATCGGCAACGGTCTACAAGTGATGGTCGGCGGTGGTCGGCGACAGAAGTGCTGTTAAACTTCAACTCTTTCTCAAAGCTTCAAGTTTTTTCTCAAGCCTCGAGCTCACTCCTTTTTATGAGAGGGTGGGGCTCTATTTATAGAGTTTTAGGTGCAATTAATGCAGGAATATAAATCACTTTGATCAAACGGCTTAGAGAGTTTCCTTCGATCAGACGGTTTAGAGGACTTCCTCGATCAAACGACATTTGATAGACATTTGAATACCTTAACGATGTTGTAATTGAGCGATATTGGACTCATTGAATTTGTCTTGTTGAGACGCTCGATTTGACTATGACCTCACCAGATTCTACATCCGTTTGTCCTTTCAACTGTATCAAAAAAACTCTCAAACATGGTTTAATGGTTTGATCAGGGTTTGATTTGGTTCAATTTGGATCAATGTTGGTACCATTGGACCTCTCTCATCGAGCCGGTCAGTTTGACTATAAATTAGTTGAAATTTGAGTTATGGATGACATTTTATCAAGATTTGAATATTTTTTACTCAAAAGAAACGGCTTAGAGAGTTTTCTTCGATCAGACGGTTTAGAGGACTTCCTCGATCAAACGACATTTGATAGACATTTGAATACCTTAACGATGTTGTAATTGAGCGATATTGGACTCATTGAATTTGTCTTGTTGAGACGCTCGATTTGACTATGACCTCACCAGATTCTACATCCGTTTGTCCTTTCAACTGTATCAAAAAAACTCTCAAACATGGTTTAATGGTTTGATCAGGGTTTGATTTGGTTCAATTTGGATCAATGTTGGTACCATTGGACCTCTCTCATCGAGCCGGTCAGTTTGACTATAAATTAGTTGAAATTTGAGTTATGGATGACATTTTATCAAGATTTGAATATTTTTTACTCAAAAGATTGCCTTTAGATCAGTTTCATGTCTCTAGATTTGTGTCAGATGATGAAATTTATTGATAATGTGTCAGAAGCCCTCTATTCATATAATGTTTATTTTATCAAGATTTGAATATTTTTTACTCAAAAGATTGCCTTTAGATCAGTTTCATGTCTCTAGATTTGTGTCAGATGATGAAATTTATTGATAATGTGTCAGAAGCCCTCTATTTTCGGGGAGACCAATTTTATCATCTGAAAATATTGGAATCCGGAGTATTTTTTATTTTTAAGATATCTTGTTTATATATATACATATATAAAATGACACGGTTTCATTATAAGTGTATTTAAGGCCTGTAAATATTAATTTACTAAGCTTAGTTAAAAAATTTGTTTGGAGTGATTTGCTTCTCACGCGTATGGGGAAGCAAAACGGGAATTGTAAATTCGAATGAATTAGAAAAGGTAAAGCGGAACGGGAACGGAGAATAGCTGGAAAGGGAACGCCGGGGCAGCGGGATCAGCGGACTGCGGAAACGGGCCGGCGGGAGTGGGATCGGTGGTAGTTAGAAGGCCACATTTTCGTCATTTTTTTTAAAAATGTAATTGCTTTTAATATTATGAGTTCATTTTGTGTCTATAAATAGAGGCCAAGTATGGGAGAAAAAATCAGAAGTGGGATGAGAAGGAGAAAGAGTGGGAGAAAGAAGGGAGGAGGAAAAGGAGAGGGAGGGGGGAGGAGGAGGGAAAAGAGTTACTCCTGAAAGTTATCTCCGACCTTGCCTCTTAAGACCTCTTGGATTTTCTTTTGCGGTCTTCTCTTATCGAGAACCAGGAGAGATTTGTCTTGAAAGTTATCCCTACCCTGTGACACAGAACCTCTGGGATTTTTTTTCGTTGTCTTCTCTCTTTGAGAAGCAAAAGAGAGTTGTCCAGAAGTTATCCCTGACGTTACCTTGCAGGACCTATGGGATTTTCTTTTGCGGTTTTCCCTCGTGGAGAAGCATGAGAAAACTATCTCGAAAGTTATCTCCGACCTTGGCTTGCAAGACCTCCAAGATTTTCTTTCACAGTCTTTTCTCGTAGAGAAGCATGAGAAAATCGTCTCGAATGTTATACCCGACCCTGCCTCGCAGGACCTCTGAGATTTTCTTTCGTGTTGTGGTACATGAGAAAGTCATATATGTTTTGCGTAGCAGACGAACAACGAGATCTTCTTTCTTATTACTACTACGCATTCCGGTGGAGATGAAGAAATTCTGA